AGCCATCGCACGGATTCGAAGATTTTTCTGACCTGCTTAAGGAAGTGAGGCTTTGTCTAAAAATTTGTTATCAACAGAAAAGAAGGTTAGCTCTGGCTTGTGGGTGTGACCTCTTCCAGGCCCCTCAGGAAGAAATCTAGAACAAAGGACAGTCATCAGAGTTCAGTCTTCAGTTCCCGCTTATCTGAGGTCTGTGTGCCAGAGGATTCCTTTGGTGAGAATCTGGATTTCTAAAAAACAACTCAGGGACACATGTTAAGATGTTAGCTCTAGTTTCTATAGGGAACCAAGCATTCTCCTGACGCTAACTTCCTTGGCCATTGTTTGTAGCTATATTACCTTCTAACTTATGGAATTGCTCATTTACTTTTTAAGGCTAGTGAGGTGCCTGGAATTTCCTCCAAAGGAACTCAGGATTTTCCCTTGTTTCCATGCTTTGGTGCCCGCAAGTCCCTAGAAAGAGTCCCTGCTCCATCTCAGTTATACCAAGAGCCGTCAGTGTCATCAGCCAACCTTGAGCTCCTCTTGTGTTTCTTTCCTCTTCTTTCCTTTCCAATTGAATTGCTTTGAACAGTATAAATTTCTGCCTGTTTATTTTCTCTTGTCTAAACGCTGTGGCATAACCCATACCCTCCTTCTCTCAACAACACAGTTTAATCTGATTAGGGACAGAGAGAGCATTGATAGTGATCCATGAAATCCCAATAGGATTGTGTTCTAGATACCTTCTATGATAAACCACTTGAATTTTCTATTTCAAAATCTTGCTGCATAGTCTCTATAAAAATTCTTCCATTTACCTTTCCCCCTGAAAGAAATATGTGGGTTCTTATTGCTAGAAAGGGGACAAGTTATGCAACCATGATCTTTTCTTATGACATCAATATGGAGAAAAAAGCAGATTTTGCCTCAAGCTAGAAGACGAGAAAAGGCCTGTTTAGCTGGTGGGGAGGAAGCTGATGACTGCTGCTGGAGACTCAGAGTCCAAGACAACCAGTTTCCCTCTGTCTCTCTCCTCTCTCCCTCTCCCTCTCTTCCTCTTTCCCTGTCTCTCCCTCTCTCTTTCCTCCTTTCTCTTCCCCCAAATCTCCTCCCCTCTCTTTCTCCTTCTCTCTCTCTTCTCTCTTTTTTCTCTTCCCCTCTCTCCTCCCCATCTTTCCCACTCTCTCCCTCTCCCTTCCCTTTTCCCCATTTCTCCTCTAGAACCTGGATTTTTGCATATTAATTTTGTATGCAACTTCCTTGTTGAATTCTCCTACTGTTTTTCAAAATTGCTTTTTGATTGATTTTACTGTTTTGTCCAGGTATAAAATTATGCATGTATCAGCTAACAATAATAATAACATTATTCCTTACCTTTCTTCTAGTTTCACCTGTTATTTATCTCTACTCTCTAATTCAATGGTTGGTATATCCAGAAAAGTGTTAAATTGTGACGGGTTTGATTTGATTTGATTCACCATTAGGCATGGCACATACTTTTCATTAGAGACATAAATTTTATCTTGTTGAAGAACACACCCATTACTATTAGAAGGAATTTAAAACTAAGAAATTGATTTTTAACTTTTTCAGATAGTTTTGAGGATTTGTTGAGATGATTATTTCCACCCTTAACCTATAAACGTAGTGAATTATACCAATACATATCCTTAAATTGTTCTAGCTTTATTAAAAAAAAATCCATTAGGTTATGGTTTAGTATTCTTTCTACATGCTGCTGAGTTCTATTTTATATGTATGCATGCATCTGCATACACACACACATATGTAAATAGGTGAGAGAGGAAGGGAAAAGGTGTTATTTTCCTTTTCTGTACTTCCTTGTTAAGTTTTGAATGATGTAGCATCAATGTAATTCTGGTTTGGTTAAAGCAATTTGGAAGATCTCTTTCTCACTTTATTCCCTACAATTGTTTAAACCATATTAAAATCTTTTGTTCCTTGAATGTTTATTACCACTCATCTGTGAAACAGATGGCTTGGAACATCTTGAGGTGGTAACTCTGACAATTTCTCAACTTCTTTTTAGGTAATTGGTATTAATTGGTATTTTAAGTTGTCTATCTCTTTAATGGTTAATTGGGTATCTATTTTTCTTAGAATATAAATTTTCCCCCTTGATTTTCACATTTATTTTTGGGAGTGGAACAAAATATCCTCACAAAATGTCTAATTTTCTTGGCACCAGTGGTTTAGATCAGATTAGTGTTTGGTGATGCCTGTGGACTGGGGAACCTGGAGATGGGGATGAAGGGTGGGCTGAGCAGATGGAGCCCAACTCCCTCCCCTACCCCCACCTCTATTCTGCCCCCACCTCTATTCTACCCCCCACCTCCATTTCAACCAAAGCAGATATACTTTATATTTGGAGTTTTAACTTAAAGATTAATTGGGGATTTGGTCACTAGGATAAAAGCCTAAAACACCCACTAACCCAGAACTGAGATTTTAAAAATCATACATTTGTCTGTATGATTAAGTATAATAACATAATAGTTTTGCCCTCCCTTGATGTCCAAAAGAGAGTGGGAGTGAAAGGTGACAGTGTTCCTAGAGGAAGCGATGCATTTCTGACTCAGCAGTTACACTGTAATACTGTAATTTATAATATAAAAGAATATGACCGCCATTCCTCAAGGAAGAGAAAGTGAGTAAGGACAGCTTCACCAGGAGGCAGGTTCATTCAAGTGTCTCTCTCTCCCAGGCAGATCTCCACTGCCCTGGGGAAACAGACTTAGATTAGCACTATCACTATTATTCCCAAGGTATTTTCAGAAATATCACACACTGTTGGAATTAAACTTGATACTGTGGACACAATTTAGTACTTGTCAGTTGGGTAAACTGGGTGATTTTGGCACAGGTAGAAGTATGGGGGCTGTTTATGCTGGAGGGAAAAAAGACCCAGGAACCAGGAGAACAATCTTTATATATCAGAAGAAAGAAGAGATAAGGTATATTTCATGTAAAGGCATGAAGCTAAATTAAGACTGAAAGATGCTAACAAAGATAGATGCTAATGGAGACACATATATGTTAGTACAATTCAAGGAAGAATTTGCTAGTGGGACTGAATGAAACAGCTAGAACCTGAAAGTGTTAATTCTCTATCACTGGAGGTATCCAAGCAGATGCTGAATGAATGGGGTCAGGAATATTGGAGAGAAATTCCATGGACTATGTAGTCACGGGTGAAGAAAGAGACCTGTGCAGCTGCTTGTAAAAGCACAGCACGGCTCTGTAAATGTCTGAAGTTGCCTTGTATGGCCACTAGATGTCACTCTCGTGTATCTGCAGTAGCAGGATTGTTTCTCTTCCAGGGCAAGTAGAAATCAGAACCTTAGACTAACACAATACAGTGAAATTTTAGTAGCAAAATATGCATCCTTATCTTATGCAATTCTTTCTTTTTTAAATAGAGATTAGGTCTCACTATGTTGCTCAGGCTGGTCTTAAATTTCTGAGCTCAAATGATCCAGTTAATTCTTAACAAATATAAGAAAAATATATCACTGGAAGCAAAAATATTTCAACACCTATTCTTAAAATCGGATTCACTTTCTAAAGTTTCCTTTTAAATAATTTTTATAATATTCTCGACTTTGATATAACTTGCTATAAAACTGCTGCTTTTCATCCACACCAATTTCTGAACATCTTGTCTGTCTTCTGTATCTATGAATAGACAGGCAAAAGAGGGTAAGGAATCTGCCCAAACACTTGGGTAAAAAAAATGCTTCCCAGTTTTTATTGCGCTGAACTTTGGAGGCTCAGGAAATGCTACAACTTTATTCTCTGTGGGACATTCACAGTGAACCTTTGCATAATAAAGGCTCTGGGAATTCTTGGAACAAAGAAACCTATGAAAATTTAGCCCCGTAGGCTGGAACACTGTGGCTCACGCCTGTAATCCCAGCACTTGCCTCTACTAAAAATACAAGAATTAGCCAGGCATGGTGGTGCATGCCTGTAGCCCTAGCTACTCAGGAGGCTGAGGGTGGAGACTTGCTTGAACCCAGGAGGCAGAGGTTGCAGTGAGCGGGGATGACGACACTGTACTCTAGTCTGGGTGATACAGCGAGACTCTTTCTCAAAAACAATAACAAAAACAAAAATTAGCCCCAAAGTCTTCAAACATATATAGCCACCATCTGTCTACTTCTAACTCTATCTATTTATCGTCTTTTTTCTAGAACATGATTTGGTGTCTATCAGAATATAAGCTTTCCTGTTGTGAAATTCCATAAGTGAAGAATGTCAAAGTTGAATTCATTACTCCTTGAATTTTATTTAATATACTGGGTGATGTTTAATGAGCTGCAGTGCATCAAGAAGAAAAGAGCAAAATTTTCTCACAACTACAAAGATATTCAGTTGGCCAGGTGCGGTGGCTCATGCCTGTCATCTCAGCACTTTGGAAGGCCGAGGCGGGCAGATCACAAGGTCAGTGAAACCCCATGTCTACTAAAAATACAAAAATTAGCCAGGCATGGTGGCTTGTGCTTATAATCCCAGCTACTCAAGAGGCTGAGGCAGGAGAATTGCTTGAACTCAGGAGGCAGAGGTTGCGGTGAGCTGAGATCACACCATTGCACTCCAGTCTGGGCGACAGAGCGAGACTCCATCTTAAAAAAAAAGATATTCAGTCATCAAAATAGATGGTTCACAACTAAAAGCTCTCTAAGTGAAGAACTTATCTTCTCTTAGCCACTCAGGCAAACTGAATGTAATAAACTAAAGCCTCAATGAAAGTGTCCACTCCCTCCTTACTCCTGATTTATTTGATGAATCCAGTAGGGTCGGTAAGTTGCTGAGAACCTTCTCACGTCCCTGTTCTAACTTTAGAGTGGAGACACTCGAAGGGCCATCCATCCTGCTTTATGTGGTTTTACCATGTGTTCAGAATGTCTTCATCACAGTCGATTATTTATTGGGTATGGTGTCTGTTGAAGCTGTCAGTCACGTCACTAAAGCTCAGGAGATATTGTCTGAAAAGTTTAACATTTCCTGCAAATGGACTTAGGTCACATGACTTGACTTTTGAATGGCAGCTGATGTGATTGTGATTCCTTACATCCAAGTGGGTGACAAACACAGAGGACCCCTCCGCCATCACTGAGTGAAGCCTTTTGGTCTCAGCAGGCTCCTCACAGCGGCCTTCACATCCTTGTTCCTCAGGCTGTAAATGATGGGGTTGAGCATGGGGGTCACCACCCCATAGAAGAGGGGGATGAGTTTGTCTGAAAGATCCTCTTTGTCTGCTCCCACGGAGTCCTTAGACTTGGGCTTCCCATACGTGAAGAATAAGGTCCCATAAAAGATGACCACCACAGTGAGGTGGGCAGAGCAGGTGGAGAAGGCCTTTTTTCTCCCCTCTGCTGAGGGGATCCTCAGGATGGTGGCAAGGATGAAGACATAGGAGAAAGAGATGAACAGAACTGGGACCCCCAGGAAGATCACATTGGTCACTCCCATACTGATCACATTGACAGAGATATCAGCACAGGCCAACTTCAGGACAGCCAGAATCTCACAGGTGAAGTGGTCAATGATGTTGTCTCCACAGAAGGGCAGCCTCATTGCAAGGGATGTCTGCACCATGGAGGCAGTGCTTCCAGCTGCCCAGGAGCTGGCAGCCATGGGCACGTAGGTAGCCTTGCTCATGACCACAGGGTACCTAAGGGGGTTGCAGATGGCCACGTAGCGATCAAATGCCATGATGCTCAGGAGCAGGCACTCTGTTCCTGCCATGGCATAGGAGAGTGCCATCTGCACAGCACAGGCTGAGAAGGAGATGATCTCCTGGGGAGTCAAAAAGCTGTTCAGGACCAGTGGGACTGAGGAGGTCGTGTAGCAAATGTCCAGGAAGGAGAGGTTCCCCAGGAAGAAGTACATGGGCGTGTGCAGGCGGGAGTCAAGGATAGTCACCAGGATGAGGACACCGTTGCCTAGCAGGATCACCAGGTACATCAGCAGGATGAGCACGAAGAATGTCTTTGCCAGCTCTGGATGGGCAGAGAGGCCCAGGAGGATGAACCCCATCACAGGGGAGGTCTCATTGGCTTTTTCCATGTGATATCCCCTCTGCCATCAGCAAAGTACTGAGCAGCACATTAGGCTTTTTGGGAAGAGTCCTAGGCATCTAATATGTGGTGAAGTTCCCACTGCATAATAGGAGAACATATCTGTGCAAGAGAAAAATGATGGAAAGAGACAGGAGGGGGTGTCCTAGAAGACAGAAGGTCAGAGCTGGACCTGCAGTGGGTGAGGGCCTCAAATGTCCAGCTGTGCTTGAGGATTTTTTCTGATGTTGCTGAACCCTCTCGGTGTCCACAAAGGTGATAGAGGCCTAGGGAGGAGGAGTGACCCATCCAAGTCTTCTGAGCAAGTTGGTGATAGAGACAAGACTTGAACCCAGCAGGGCATGTCCCTGGCCCAAGGAGGGCTTTTCCTCTGCTTTGTGATTAAGTGCTAGGCAATGCTATGAATTATTTCTCTTTAATGCAAATCCATAGCAATTTCATTTGATCTGGGCTTTCTTAGATTCTCAGAGAGGAAAATTCCCAAGCAGATGCGATTCCTAGACCTAACAAATGATGAAGTTTCTTTAAACTTTGATTACACGTGGGAGGAAATTGTGCAAAATTGTTCAGCCATATTCATACAGAAACAAGCCTAGTTAATGGTCAGCCATAAAGAGGGTTACTCCTTCACTCTAGTGACACGGGCTTGAGCATTGCCAGCAATGGGTCTGCCTATTTGAAATATGGATTTATTGTAAGATATGGAGAGGTCCTTTAGCTGGGAAATTTATGAAGCCAACAAATGGATTTGTTGGTGTGACTGAACTCACATCATGAGACAACGGTGCAGCTTTTACCAACTAGTTAATGTCATGTTAATAAGCACACTCTAGCCTCAGTTATCAGATAGTATACAGCATTAACTTCTGATCCATGTCATTAGGACGTGTGTGAAATTCCTAACTGTGAGAGACTAAGGATGTTTTCTCTTCATCCTTTTATGTTAGCATTTTATTCTTGTGTTACCTTCTGACTCCCTGACTCCATTCTTGAGTTCTGTGCAAGAAGCTGGCTTATAGGAATATCTATATGCCTTTGTGTTGAGGATATCTAGTCTCTTGCCTGCAATTTCCCTGACTCTAAATTCAAAATACTCATAGATAATATTTCTGTAGCTCCTTCTTAATGACAACGGCTCTAGGAGTGTGTATAAGAGTGGGTGGATGATGCAAGATGAGTGGTTAATTTTAATATTAGTGAGACTCCACCCTGTGCCATATTCCTTCAAACAGCTCATGGAGGAGATATCATCATTCAGGTTTTACAGATGAAGTAACTGGAACTCAGAAGATACATTTGCCCCTTGGGGTTGAAGGGCAGAGCTGGAGTCAGGTCCCATGCCCTAGTCCTGAGTCCTCTCATGAAACAGCTGCTTTTCTCTTTTGGTGCACAGCTTTGCAAAAGATCCTGTCGCTCCAATACCAGACAGACCTTACAGTCCTGTTTATATAATTTTCTCTATGCTAATATTACTATAGCATAATGATAAATTAAAAGGGCAAAGTCAAACTTATAGACACGTTATGATCTCAGCTCTGTGTGTTCTCTGGCCGGTCTCACTGTCCAACACCCTCTCTCTTCACTCATGCGGGAGGCTTATGTCAGATGTGTTGTCAGGCAGTGCAGCTCCCACCCTAAATGGAACTCAGGGTTTCTCAAATTCTTTACGATTGACATTTTGTGCTGGATAATCTTTTGGTGTGAGGACTGTCCTGCGCATTATAGGATGTTCAGCAGTCTCTGACCTCCACTGATCAGTTGCCAGTAGCACCTTCTACTCTGAGTTATAACAGCCAAAATGTTTCCAGACACTGCCACATGCTTCCAGGAGAAAGGTGTGGGGGTGGGGGTAGGTGATGCAAAACTATGCCAAGGAGGGAATCATTAGTCTAACCCAGGAGAAACTTTCCCCATTATGCAACCAGGGTCTCAAGGTATTTCCTGTGCAATCCTGTTTCCCTCTCCACATCCTTTAGTACAGCACAGGAGGATGTTCCTGGTTGCTCAGTACAAGCCGACTCCCTGTGAGCCCCACCATGAACTTCCCCCCAGCTGATCTCCCGTTCCTCCTAGTGCATCTCTCACCCCCTCCAGAAAATGAAGAAAAGTAAACATTACATTCGGTGCGACAAACCAGATTCCAAAGCGACAAGCAGATGCTAGGGAAGCCACACTGCCCATTCCACAAAATAAGTCTATGCACACAGAGGTTTCTATCCGTGAATAATATCCTCTGGGCATGAATGATGCATGGGATTTGGCCTCCTTCGGAGCTGCCTCCGTGGAAGCCTCAGTGCCTGTCATGAAAAGTTGCTGAGTACATTTGTTTAATTGAAATGAACTGTACAGCTAGGAAGATTTTGCACTCTGAGATCAGAGCTAGTGGAACTACACCTGCCTGGGAGATGGATATTCAGTCAAGCTGGAGCAAGTCTCTTTGCCTCCCTAGGCCTCAGTTTTCCATGTGCTTCATGAGAAGGCTGAACAATTGCTTTCCAGGGCATCCCAGCTCTGAGGGTTGTCCAGGACTCTCGAGTGCTGACCTCTGTAGGCAGGGAGCAGTCCTTGGTGAAGGTGGCTGCCCACACTGATGGGTGTGAGGGGTGTGTGTGTGTCTGTGTGTGTGTGAAGGGGAGATCCAAATTCCTGGTTGTCCACCAAGAAACATTCAACAGTTAGTAGGGCTGGGTCAGGTTTTGGAAGGGACTCAGAATGAAAGCAAACCAAGAGGTCTGGCACTTGCAGCCCCATAAGAGGAGGGAGAGAAGCAGGGAGGTGGGAGGCAGCCAGGGAGAGCAAGGGGAGGAGGGGAAGCTTTGGGCTCTGTGGCCAGTTCCTGCAGGCATGAAGTCTCAGTTTGTCCAAGGGACCCGATTTGGCTCATGGTCTCATCTCTACCTGTTCTGGAGCCAGCAGGCAGATGAGAAGCAGGAGGCAACGCGGCGCTGTAAAAAGAGCCCCATACATTCTCAGGCAGCCTTTCTGGAGGGGAATTTGTCTAGAAAAAGGAAAAATTCAAAAAACCTGCCTATCCCTCACCTCAGCCATTGTCCTTCCAGGAAATATTTTAAAGAATCAGTGAGAAAATGTTTTAAAGAATCAGTGAGCCTAAAGGCCAGGATCTCTCAATAAAGGTATTTATCACAGCAATATTTGTGAGTGAAAATAGGAAACAATACCGCTCTCCACCAATAAATGCTTAAGTAAACCATGCTTTTCACATAATGGAATTAATATTAGACAGACCTTACAGTTCTATTTGTGATTTTCTCCATGCTTATATTACTATAGCATAATGATAAATTAAAAGGGCGAAGTCAAACTTGTACACGCTGTTATGATCTCAGTTAGGTAAACAGTCACGTGGATAAAAAGTGACTGGAGGCCAGGGGCGGTGGCTCACACCTGTAATCCAAGCACTTTGGGAGGTTGAGGCGGGAGGATCACTTGAGGTCAGGAGTTTAAGACCAGCCTAGTCAACATGATGAAACCCGTCTCTACTAAAACTACAAAAAAAAAAAAAAAGTTAGCAGGCATGGTGGCGCGTGCTTGTAATCCCAACCACTTGGGAGGCCGAGGTGGGAGAATTGTTTGAACCTGGGAGGCGGAGGTTGCAGTGAGCTGAGATCGTACCATTGCACTCCAGCTTTGGTGATAGAGTGAGACTCCACCCCTCCCCCAAAAAAGAAAAGGACAATAAAGAAAAATGACTGGAAAGAAAAGATAGCAAAATCCATAGGGGCAGGGCAAATTTTCTCTGAATAGGATGGGTACAAATTATTTTGTATTCAGAAAAAATCTCAGCATTTCTGAGTGGAGGGTGAGAGAAACAGAAAGCGCTAGTCACAGAGTGGGCTCTGTAAGACAGGGCTGCGTGCAGGTCCACCTGCCTCATGTCCCCTGACCCTGAGGGAGTCTGCTTTTCCTCTGAGCCTCCCTTCCTCACCTGTGGAGTGGGATGGAAGCCCTGCCTGCCTCCTTCAGGGCTTGTGTGGGGACAGAGCAGCAAGGACAGGGAGGGGACTTGGCTCATGGGGTCCCTGGAGGGCGCTGGGAGCCCAACAGCTCCTCTCTGCCCCAGCAGCAGCTGCCTAGGACCAGTGGCAGCTGGAAGGTTTCTGGTAGCAGAGGCTGGGTGAGGAGAAAAGTGCATCAGAGGGAAATGTCCTGCAGGAGGCACTGCCCCACCTCTGCCCCCGCCCCAGCCCAGCTCTCCCCATCTGCTTCCTGCCCGGTGGCGGCCACTTCGGAGTCTCCTGATCCCACACACAATTCTCAGTTCCTCCCTGGGCCCCAGCCAGACACTGTGCCAGAGAACGACCCCTGGCATACCCCTAACTTACCTGGGAGACCCTCTTTCTTCTTTTTCCTTCTAAATCGTGTGAGGACTTTAGCCTCTGGTGGTGCTCCCTCCCTTCCTTCCAGCTGTGCCGGCTAGATGCTGGTGTCCCAGCTCCAGACTCTTCATGAAGAAGATCTGGCAACTGGGTCTCAGGCCCAGAAATCCTGAAGGTAGGTTTTCCCCAGCAGCCTAAGGAATCCTCAAGCTGCACCGTGGACTCCAGGGGGCCCCTGACACCTTAGTTACTCCAGGGACCTGCTAATCCCACAAGTAATTTGAAGTTTGGAGTGCCACATTTGCACAGGGCACAGGTCGATGCATACCTGGGAGCTCCAGGGACCACACTCCATCCCAATCAGAGGCGGTGAAAGGGGCCCAGCCTACTGGACATAGAGAGGAGACCTCAAAAATGCTGGCTCCCCCGTGAGCTTTCCCTCAGGTGTCAGAGAAGCAAAGACACTGCTCACTTCAGGGAAGAGCACCTTGTCCCCAAGTTGAAGTCCTAGAGATCCAGAGTGGGTGACAAGATAGATGCCTTCCAACAGCAGCAGCAGTCCAAGCTCCATCTATTGAGCGCCATCATGTGCTGGGCACACGACAGACGCCGTACATATATGATATGTACATGATGCATGTGTGTTGAGTGCCTACTCCAGTCTGCCCAGAAGCTTCGTATTATCCCCTGATGTTTTCATTTGAGGGACAGCA